ATGCTCTTGTTCTCCTCCCTCCGGATGCCGATCAGGCAGACGCCGTACCTGTGCCGGGAGCATGATGTGGGCATTCACAGCTGGAGGAAAGCCCCTTTGGAGCTTTGTCCCTGCCCAAACGTCCTCGCAGCGCGCTCCAGTCCCAGCCCCGACCCTCCAGAGATGCAGATGGGCGGATACACCCTGCCCACCCCTGCCCGTCACCCCCCTGCCCTCACTTCTTGTGCGCATGGAAGGCGGCGTAGGTGAAGCTCTTCCCCTCATACTCCATGAAGAACTTGCTGTCGCCCATCCGGATGTGGTAGACCTCGTTGCCCGAGCAGCGCCCGTACATCCGCTGCCACTGCTCCGGGGACTCCTGGCCCTCCCTGCAACGACAGGAGCAGCGTGCCGGGATGGACTCCCTGGTGCTGGGATAGGACCTCCCACTGTGCCAGGCTGGGACCCCCTCGTGGTGCCGGGACAGGACCCCCTGGTGCCGGCACAGACCCCAGCACACCAGCCAGCTCCCAGGGCAGAGCCGCACGGCTGCCAATAACGGCTGAAGCTGCCATTTAGACCAACAGTGGTGAGATTACAGCCACGTGGCTCCACAAGCTGTCAGCATTGGCAGGCTGAGGACAAGCCCCTTCTCATTTCTGATTTTAAGTGCCTTTCAACCTAACGAGGACTCCCGGGGGCGCGCAGAAGCAGGGTTCAGAGCCCAGGGTTGCAAACAGCTCTAAGCATGGGGCAAGAGTCATCGGGCAATGATATTTCGTAACTGTTTTGATGTCGCATTACCCAAAATTCAGACATTTCTGGCTGGCCAAGGCGCACAGGACCCACACCACCGCTTTACCAGGCTGGCAGAGCTCCTGCCAGCTGTGCTGTATAGAAACCTGCCAAACAGTCTGCAGCGTCCGGGTTTGCAGGGGCTGTGAATTCACCTTCCTGCCAGCGGGACCATGCCAGTAGAAAGAGGACAATTTCATTCCCAGTCTCTGGAAAGGTGCTGTTGGTCAGCCCTCTACAACATTGGCTGTTGCTTCTGACCTGGCTGAGGGTCCCAGGTCCCACTGTGCTCCCCCAGACCCCCGCTCTCTCCCCCCTGGGCACAGAGCCCCTGGCTCTGCTGTCCCTCCATGCCCAGGCTGGGGCAGCGGCCGGGCAGGGCAGGCAGGACTCACTGGCCGCGGGAGGTGTGCACCAGCAGCGTGATGAGGGTGGAGGTGGCAGGGCAGACGCAGTTCAGTGCCAGCATGGCGTATTTGCACTCCTCTTCGCAGACGACGTGATCTGAAAGGCAGAGGGGATCGTCATGGTGGGGAGGGAGACGGAGGGGTTCTTTGGCCAGCAATGCTCGGGGACGCGGTAACTTTGGGGTGGTGGTGTTGGAGGCTGGGTGCTTCCTCCTCCTGCCAGTCCAGGAGGGCTTTCAGCCGATCAACAGCCCATAGGGAACACCACGAATAGGATCAACGCAGACAGGAAAACAGGGATGCAGGCTGGAAACCAGCCAGGTGGACACCAGCCCACCAAGGCCACCACCGCCGTGTCCACAGGGATGCACAGCCAAGCACACATGGGACTGGTGTGCCCACACACAGCCCATCCCGGCGGACCCCGGAGCCAGTTCTTCCCCAGCCCCAGGCACGTCGCTGCAGGCTTTAGTGTACATCGTGATATAGGGACTGACAGCCCTAAAATATCTTCCAGCAGTCAGGAGGAGTCTCAGCACCAGGTCATGGACCCCTCCAAGATGGAAACACTGATGGAAACAGCCCAGACCAGCAAAGTGAAGAGTGCTGCCCGCTGCCGCGCAGCCCCTCCAACTCACCGGCAAACTTGACGTGAAACTTGTTTTCAGGCTTTAAGATCTGAACGTAGAGTGGACAGTTCGGAGCAAAATCTTTCACAGCCCAGGCTCTCAGGATGGTCTGGTGGTCCTAGCCGAGGAGAAGAGCAAGAGCTACTTGGCTGGTGGCTTATTTTCCCCAACGCTTCTACACCCGGGATGAATTGCAAAGCACCCGGCCACCTGGGAGACGCAGAGCAAGGGCTCCTCCAACACCCGCTGCTAACGGGGGATACCTGCCCTCTCCCGCTCCCCAAAACCCAGCACTGAGGGGGAACTGGGACAGCAGAAGGGAGGTGAGCCCGCAGGGCCTCCTCCAGCGGCGTGCTGCTGCATATCCCCGTGCCATCCCTGCGTTTCTCCACGGTCACTGCCTGCCCGCGGGGACCCTTCAGCAGCTTTGCTACGAGCAGGACTTCCAAGCGCCAAAGGAGGGCAGGGCCAGGCAGTGCCTCGGCAGCAGCAAGGGACCGTGGTACCCCTTGCTCTGCACATTAGCACCTGCAGAACAGACCCCTCCGGCAGGGCCGCACAGGCTCAGGACAGCACGGGCAGGCAGGACCCACCACCACGGCACGGGCAGCATCGCTGGCACCAGCCGGCAGCGTGAGCTCCCCCACCACGCCACAGGCAGCATCGCTGCCCCCAGCCGGCAGCGTGAGCTGTCACCGCTGCCACCCCCTCCCTCTCCCAGGGCTCCAAAACAAAGATCATCCCAGCAAAGTCCCTACCCGGGTTGGGATAAGATTGCATTAGGCACGGAGGTTTTGGGGTGAGCTGCCCAAGGGAGCGCAGGGTGCAGAGCCTGTGCGGTGCCCAGGGGACAGGGCTCAGCACTCAACCCCACGCTCTCGCCCTCGCTACCCTCCTGCACGGTCCTGTGCCGGGCAGAGGTGAGATGCAGTGATCACCCCGGTCCCTTCCAGCCTGAGAAATTAATAACCTCCGACCGTGCCATCCCCCAGGCCTGGCTTACCGCTGCGGTGCGGTCCACCTCATTTCGGCTGCTGAGGATGAAGCAGGCTTCTCCGTTGTCCATCCTGCAAATGGAGAGCAGTGACCCCATGAATTGCATGGGCCAGCAAAGCCAGGCATCTGCCTGTACCAGTCAGGGTGCTGCCAGCCCCCTCTGAGACCCCAGTGCAGGCACGCAGGGACACCCATCATCATGTATCTGGGCTGACATTGCCGGGGACCCCGCTCTGCAGCTCCAAAGTCCATGGGCAGCTTGGCAGCGCAGTAGGACCAGCCTTGCTGTGCGTTTGTGGTGCATCCCTCCACTCACTTGGCTCTCATGAGGTCCTGGTCCTTCAGCGCAGAGCCCTGGAGGTAGATCACTCGCTGTGACCACAGTGGGATCTGCAGGACTCGTCGCACCTGGATGTCCATCTCTGTCGGGCAAAGTATCACCACGTAGTAATCCTGAAAGAGAGCGGCTGGCGTGGGTCTGCAGGCTGGCATTCCCGCACATGCCTGCCGCAGCGAGCCAGGACACAGGGTTTTGCTGCCTGAGCAAACAGCTCCTTTGGGGATATTGATATTTGCTCCCGAAGTATAACACTCCCTGCCTCTGCTCTAGGGTCTTGGGAAACATGTAAGCATCGTCACCACCCCATTCTGCATAACAAAGCCAGGCACATCTGACCACGGAACTAGGAAAGAGCTGCATGCCCACAGCCAAGCGGAGCCTCTTGCAGTTGCTGTAATGAGCAGGCTTTGAAAGCTTCAATGTATGGAACCAAGGCTGGGCGATGGTAATGAAGCGTATGTGAGTGCTGGAACGAAATGCAAATCCAAAACACTTCTGTGATGCTTATGCCCTGGGGAGCAGGAAAGGTGCAGTGATTTGCAAGATCACTTATAATGTGGGGATACGCCAGTAAGAGCTGGGTAAATCCCACTGAGGTTTAGCAACCACATGTTCTGTTTCTGTCTGAGATCTTTCACTCAGCAAAGACATCCTCACATTTAGAAAAGTCCCTCTGGTCCCTCCCCATGTGCTTACACAGTGCTCTAACAGGCCTGGCCAGCACACGGGGTGGACCAGGCAGAGAGAGCCCCACCACTGAGATGGCGAAGGGAGGTGGCCCTGGGGTACCACTTGCCACCTCTCCTTGGCCAGCCCAGCACACACTTTCCGGTGCTGTACTGGATGGTTTCTACCTTATTCTTTGCCACATCCACTGTGCTGGGTAGGGCACTCACCACCAGCAGCCACCCAGCCATGCCCAGCAAGGCTGAGAGCCTGGCAAGGGCAAGTGTTGACCAAGCACATGACAACATGCCTGGTCCTCACCTGCAGGCGCGGGTGGGCATAAAACTCGTTGAGGAAGTCCATGAGGAGATCAATCTTGAGGGAGCTGACACAAAGGACAACATGTTTCTCCGTCTGGGCACGGTGACGGCTGTAATTGCCTCCTGACTTCTGCCGCTCCATCCACAGGTAGACGAGCTCCTCAAACTGCAAACAAAGGCAGAGAGCTGATGTTCCCATCGGCGAGGCTGCCCGGGTGCAGGCTCTGCATCCCTCTCCACCCTCAGCCACATTGGTCTAACCTGGAGCGGCAGGACAACCAGGGCGACGCAAATCATTATCACGACGAGGAGCTGGGAAGGCCAGATCTTTGGTGTCACGTCTCCATAGCCCACAGTGGAAAAGGTGACGATGCAGAAATAGAAGGACTTAAAGAGGGAGAGCTTCTCACCTGCCCTTTCTAGATGCTGGATGCCACAGGTCCTGAAGGGAGCAAGCACACATCACAGCGAGCGCTTCCCTGCACGGGAGACAGGCAGTGCCCGTGGCGCCTGCTGAAGCCTGTGCAGAACCCTAGAAGGAGACTTACACCCACGTCCATGGAGGAAATTTGTCTCTAACATGCTGTCAGCATCAGCAGTGGATTTATGTCACCAACAGAAATGATTCAGCGAATGGTGCTTACAGATGCGGGCGTTAGTTCGATGTGGTTGCTCACCAAAGCAGCATGGGGAAGCCCAGGTACCAGGTGATGGGTCACGATAAGACCATGCTGTGGACAGCATGTCGAACATCACCCAAGGGCTGCCTTTCCATTGCAAAAAACACAAAAAGTGGAAGCAAGCAGCTGTCGTGGTAAGGCTCTTGGGGGGGCTCAGCCCACGGGAAGGGCTCTCGGTTATCGGGGGGATGCGCTCTGGCAGGCAGGAGGAAGGTCCCACCACCAACTCCCAGCCCGGGGCTGCTGCCTTTGCAAAGCCGTGCCGCAGAGCATGCCGACAGGCAGGCAGGGTAACTCCACAAGCCTGCGGTTTCAAAGTCACCTTGCTGAACACAAGCGTCACCTAAGTCATCCTGGACCCGAATTGTAGCCCTGCCGCGTCCGCCAAGAGCCACATCCACAGCCCCAACAGGCAGGAGGTGCCACGGGCCGGGAGCGCTGACGAGCTCCAAAATTGCATCAGTCGTTCACATCAGAGGATCATCGTTATTGCCAAAGACTCCTGAGCCTAAAAGCTTCATTTCCTGTCTGCTCAGCAACTTAATGGTATTACACGCTTCAAATCCAGACCAAGGGAGCCAGCGGAAGATTCAAGAAGCCTAATTCAAAGCTAAGCACCCAGCGATGAGAGCTGGCTCCTTTATAAAGTGATGCCCTTGCTGATGGCAATGTGCAGGGTAAAGCGACCAGTTAATTAGCAGAAGCCCCTGCAGCCTATTACACAAACGAGCTCAGCAGCAATAGTAACTTGGTGGGGAGGAAGAGCGCGGTCGGAGCCAGCGGGTGCGATGGGTCCTGGTGAATGAGCCGACACCCGTCCAAGCCCGTGTCCCAGTGGGAAGCTGCTGGCCCTGCCCTGGGCTCTGCAGCACTCACAGCCCTGCTCCGAGACTGGTGCCCGCATCACCCGTCTCCCTCCGACAACGTCCCCATCCTCACACGCGCCCGTTAAAAAGTTTATGTTAAAATCATATAATTAAGGAGGATAATTAGTTTCTAAAATAGGAATTGATGTTCCCAGTGTTCAGTGTGCTGGGGAATGAAGCAAGGCGAGGAGGATCCCGGCGCTGGGGGCTGGCAGTGCAGAGGTTCCTCCCAAAGCTCCAAGCCAAAGCCCACGGCCAGGAGTGGAAACATGGGGCACACTCCTCGCCATGGCTCCCCCAGTCCCAAAACTCAGCCTGAGGAACTGGGACTTGTCCCATCAGCAAAGGAAGGATCTCAGAGACTTGGGAGTTCAATCCAATCAGCAGCCCTGAACAGTTGTGCTTTCCTCAGTGTGCACAAACCTCTCAGGCTGAAAACCCAGGCTAGAAGACACTGCCTAAGGGCAGAACTCCTCTGGCTGCCCAAACCACCACGTTAGGTCCTGGCAACGCCATCCCACCACAGCTGGGAAGGTCCCACCCCCCCTCCCTCTCCTATAAGCCCTGGGACCTGCAAAGCTGGTTTCCCTGGGTGAAGAAGGCGGTTTAGCGAAACGGAAAGCAACACTCACCCCGTGAAAACCAGACACAGGAGGGTGCAGATCAGAATGAGCACCTGGTTAAACATGGCAGACTGGGTCCTTTGTATGGCTCGGTGCAGGTCGTTCTGGAAAGAAAGGAGAGGACTCACCAGCTCGGGGAGGCTGAGGGTGAAGTACTCCTCCGAGTACCGACTGCTGCCTTGCTGGCTGCAGCAATGCCCCCCCAAGAGCCAGCGGCATCCCCAGGGCGGAGGGGCCCGGGGCAGAGGGGTGGGATGTGTCCGGTCACTCACAATCATGTTCTCCAGGGCGTACTTGGCAAGCCAGCAGTTCAGAAACACAGGAATGAACAAATTCCGCAAAGGAGGCCAGAATATCTACGAAAGCAAGAGTTACTCGCAGAAAAATCCACGCTTTTCATCCAAAAAAGCTATAAACAGCTACTTTGAGCCCTGTCGGGAAGGATCCATCCCCAAACTAAGCTCCAGCCTC